ATTCACAACGTTCTTCACGCCAGCAACCTAAATTCACAAAGGATTTGTCGCAACGGTTGGTCGGTGATCACTTTGACTGTGTGAGCTTGGAAATAGAGTAGTAGCTTTCGGGTCGTCTTCATGAGTGTGAGGGTTAGCTTCTCGATCGGGGAGTACCGTGCCTCGAGCCCGACGAGGACATGGCTGACGTAGTATATGGGTTGCTGCGTTGGTGGCGTCTCCCGAACTAACACCGAGCTGAATGCCTGCGTCGAGGCCGCTAGGTAGAGACCAAGGTTTTCACTCGGCTCGGGCGAGGCATGCCTTCAACTTTTCGAAGATTTCTTCGCATTCCGAGGTCCTTGTAAAGTTGTCAGCCTATCGTAGAGCCCGAAAGAAAGGGAGGCACTTGTCACCCGAACGTGACATGAACCTTCTGAGCGTTGCCAACTTCCCGGCGAGTCGTTGCACCTCCTTGACCGAGCGGGGGGAATGCATCTCGGTTACGGCCCGAACCTTTTTTGGGTTGGTATCTATCCCCCGTTGGTGAATGATAAAGCCGAGGAACCTCCCCGAGCTGACCCCGAAGTCGCACTTCGCAGGATTCAGACGCATGTTGAACCGTCTAAGCGTTTGGAATGTTTTCGCCTGGTCGGTCAAGTGCGCGCTTGCGTCCTTGCTCTTTACGATCATGTCGTCAACGTATACTTCCATATTCCTCCCGAGCTGGTGCTTGAACATCTTGTTGACCATCCTTTGTTAAGTCGCCCCAGCATTCTTCAGACCGAAAGGCATCACTTTGTAGCAATACACCCCTCTGTTGGTGATGAAGGCGGTGCTCTCTTGATCCTGAGTCGCCATCCAAATTTGGTTATAGCTCGAGAACGCGTCCATGAACGTAAGGAGTTCATAGCCCGCGATGGTGTCGACTAGTTGGTATATCCTGGGAAGCGGATAGCAGTCCTTGGGGCTTGCCCGGTTGAGATCGATGTAATCAACACACATCCTCCAGCTTCCATTGGATTTCTTAACGAGAACTACATTCGACAGCCACCGAGGGTATTTTACCTCGGTAATAAATCCCGCCTTTTTAAGGTGGTCGACCTCATCGCTGATTGCCTTCTGTCGGTCGGGAGCGAACTACCTTGGTCTTTGCCTCACCGGTCGAGCCTCAGGGTCGATGTTAAGCTGCTGCTGGGTCACTTCTAGGTCAATCCCGAGCATCTCCTCGAGGAACCATGCGAACATATTGGCATTTTTCCTTTGGAAATCGATGAGGTGGAGCTGATCTGCTTCGGGGAGCGTTGTTCCGACCTTGACGGTCAGATCGGGTCGGTTCCTTTTCAAGGGTACATCGGTGAGTTGCTCGGGAGGTTCCAGCTACATCGACGCTATGGGTTCCTCACGTCGGTCGGGGTCTTACGGGGGCGTGATTTCCTCGGGAGAGTAACCGTCGTAAGATAGCATCGCCTTGACTCTCCCGGATCACTTCGGGATTCCCCTATTCTCGCCGAAGTTGAAAACTTGATGGTCTTGTAGTAGGTGGATGCCATCGCCTTTAACATGTTGAGCGTCGGTTAGCCGAGGATAACGTTGTAAGCCGAGGGAAGATCGATTACCATGAAGGTGGTCATTATTGTCTTCGCTCTCGGCTCTTCCCCGATAGTGACGGGGAGGACGGTGGTCCCGAGCGGGGAGATGGAATCCCCCGTGAATCCAGTGAGTGCCGACGCCATGGGGGTGAGGTCCTACTTGGTCAAACCGAGCTTCTTGAAGGCATCTAGGTAAAGGATGTCGGCGGAACTCCCGGTGTCGACCATCACCCTTTTGACCCAAGCGTTGGCGATCCGGATAGAGATCACCAAAGCATCGTCAAGATGGGAGCGCTCGATTTCTTTGGCCCCGAAAGTGATTTCAGGCCCGAGCTCGGGCCGGGGACGTTTCTCGACCACCCTCCGGGCGTAGGCCTTCCTTGTCGTTGAGCCGCTGTCGTCGTCTGCTGGTCCTCCGGAGATGACGTCAATCTGTCTCTCGACAGGTCCCCTGGGGCGTGGAGTTGCTTCCCGGGGTTCCATGAGATAACGCCGGAGGTGTTTTCTCCGGATCAGTTCCTCGATTTGATTATGGAGGTCGCGGCAATCCTTCGTGTCATGGTCGTAGTCTCAATAGAACCTACAATATTTGGACCGATCTTTGTGAGTGGTTTTTATGGGATTGGGTTGTCGCAAGAGACCCTTCTCTCTGATTTGGAGAAAGATCTCGGTACGAGACGTGTACAGGGGGAGAGAGGCCGGGGCCTCGGGAGCAGTAGCTCTTGTCGGTCGTGCCTCCGGCGGGGTTGTCCTAGGGCTACTGAGGTCATTCACCGGGATTGTTCCGCCCTTGGCCTCATGCCGTCCATGCGCTTTCCTGCCACCAGAGCTTCAGCAGCGATGTACTGGTTGGCGCGTTGGAGCATTTCGAAGATGGTTACTGGCGGCTTCTCGATCAACGACCAGAAGAACCTCGAAGGCTTCAAGCCCATCAAAAACGCCTGCATGATTAAAGAGGGGTGAGCGTCCGGGAATCCTCGGATTTCAATGGCGAAACGTGCCACAAGCTGAGAGAGCAACTCGTCTTCTCATTGAGATAATGCAAGCAGGGTGGCCATGGAAGGCCTTGGTCGCACGCTAGCAAGGAAGTTTTGCTTGAACTCCCTAGCGAGCTAGTCGAAGGATGAGACTGAAGACTGGCGCAATCGGCTGAACCACGCTAGTGTCGTTCCCCTGAGGGTCGTCGGGAATGCTCGGCACATCAGTGCATTGGGGGTGCTATAAAGGGCCATCTGAGCTCGAAATGCAGAGACATACTCTATAGGATCGGAGTCGCCGTCGTACGTCTCCAATGTCGGCAGCCTGAAGTTAAGGGGTACCGGCTTGTCCTGTACTTATAGAGTAAAAGGGATCCGCCCAAATCGCCTTCGTTGTACTCGATCCGTGATTTTCGGAACTCGTGCTGGAACTCGTCCAGACGTTGGTTGACCCGGGTCAGTTGGACCCTGAACAAGTCATCCGTCGAGTCAGACGATATAGTGTCAGGCTCGGAGCGGAGCGGTGTGATTCGGCAGGGTGCGGGTGTGCTCCGCTCGGGCGGACCTCTCGGGTTTGTCGTTTGCGCTCGGGCTTCTCTCGTCCCGACCTGCTCCTTGCTCGGCCTTTGTCGGGTCGGGTCAGTCGGGGGAGCTGCAAGCCGCACGATCTGGGGAATGAGTGGAACGAGCGTCTGCGTCATCCCTGCCTTTGCTTGCACTTGCTTGGTAAGGCTGAGGAACGCCTCGAGTGACACGGCCGAGGGTCCTATGGCAAGTTCGGGGGCCGACAACCCCGGATCGTTGAACAGGCGCCAGTAGCGATCTGGCATCGAGGCTGGGATCCCCCATCCCTGAGGGCAGGGAGGGACTAATCTCCAGGCCCGAGGGAGGGGTGATCGATCGGTGGTTCTCCCTTGGGGAGAGCTCCTGCGGGATACTCTTGCGACATTGCCCTCCTTCTAGCGCCGAAATGTTGGTAAACAAATATGCCGCGTCTGGTGAGTCAGCATGGCCTGGTCCACGGGTCAATGTCGGGAGTCTCGTGTCGGCTGAGCTGGATGCCGAGGTCGACCGGGCCCTCACGACGGGTTCTTGATCAGTGTCTCTCGGTCCGGGTGTCGGTTGATGGCTCGCCTTGGGGACATCGGTCGGCGACTTCCAAGGTTGGGACGCTCGTGGGTCGTGGGTGGCCGCTTTCCTACAAAAATGACCGTCGTCGGGTGATTCCCGACTTTGGCCCCTCCGACGAGCAAGTTAGTGGTGGGTTGAATCGTTTCTTTCTCTCTCTTTTGTTGGATGCCGACCATGGGCTTTTATACTATTGTATGAGGGTCGGTTGCACGCTGATCCTCGAGGGATGAGAAGGCACTTATGACCGGCCGCCATCTCGGGACGCACGGAGCGGCGTCAGGCGTCGTCGCCCCGAGTTCCCGGGACGGGACATGTCGAACAGCGTCTCGGTACAGATTCTGACTTGGCGTGTGGGGGGGGGTGTTCCCCTTGCTGTTTCTCGGGTTGGCGTGGTGGTACGCGGGTCGAACAGCGCCTTGGTACGGATTCTGACCTGGCGTGTGGCATCGGCTGTGACGTTTTATCTTTGGCCCAAAATATGCCTTATCAACAACCATTATCTTTTTGTCCTTCCTTTATTTAAGCTGTAGGATTAAAGACATTTTATGATCATAGACTATTGTGACCATCAATTACTGCATAAAATATTTGCTGCCATTGAACCAATATACTGAACAATGTCTTCAGATGTTTAATCCTCACATCCTTACAGTAGAATTTTTATCATTTTAGCTTCTTCAAACAAAAGAAAGAGACATGATGGTTCTTAGTTTTACCTTTAATAGTTCTGTCAAAAAAAGCAAATAAAAGAGACAATGTCATTTCATCTGCTGCTAATCACTATTGCTAGTTGACGATAGAGATTGATTCTTCATTTAGGTAACCTCTAGAGTTGAGGCTGAATGACAATGTCATCGTGTTAGATGGTTTATTTAACAAAATCAATAATGTTTTTTCTTTGTTTTTGCATCATCAGTATTTTGACATTTTATTTTCTTCCGGAGTTATTGCACTGGGTTCCATAATTGATGTGTTTATCCAAGATGTTTCTGTACCTATAGAAGTAATATTGTAAGGAATAATAAATAAGAACAATATAATATCTATAACAAGGACTTGCTATATCATACTGTCATTTTTCACTGTTTTGGGGATTATCTGGCCTCTTCTGTCTTTGGTATCTTGTGCTCTTGTAAATTCTTTACATATGGGTACCTATAGTGCAGAAATGTACAACTTCATAGTAATAATTATGTGACTATATGTTGTCAAATAGAACAAATCACATTTCCAGCATGTTTCTTTTTTAGTTCATCCTTTTATACAGTTGCAGTTTTCTTGCCGATTTGCTATGTTCTTGAATTTTTTATTTTGTGTGCAGGTATAACTGCAAACCATATATTTTGCGTAACTTTTCTGAACTTGGTTTTCGAGAGCCTACACCTATTCAGAGGCAGGCTATTCCAGTACTCCTTTCTGTATGCCCTAAATTTTGCTTCTCTCTCTTTCCTTCCCCCAATCTCTCTCTCTGTCTATCTTATATTTAACTTTAGAAAATTTACTCTTTTACTGCTGAACTAATTTCTCTATGCTGTTACAATATTATCGTTATCTGAATAGTTCAGGGCTAACATATCAGGGTTTTACATATTTCAGAAAAGGGACTGCTTTGCATGTGCACCAACTGGTTCTGGCAAGACATTGGCGTTTTTATGTCCAATGCTTATGAAGATTAAGGTATCATTATTCTACATGGACTACCATCTTGTCAGTCTTATACTTTGCATTAGTTTTAGTTTTTCTTACTGTTATTAGCCAGGGTTAAAGAATGGCGTACAAGCTGTTGTTCTCTGCCCTACTAGAGAATTAGCTGCTCAAACTGCTAGAGAGTGCAAGAAGCTGGCTACGGGGAGGAAATTTTACATCAAGTTAATGACTAAGGAGCTCTCCAGATGTGGTGATTTTGAAAAAATGCCCTGTGATATAATCATATCCACTCCTCTCCGGTTGGACTTAGCTATTTGCAAAAGGAAGCTTGACTTGAGTTGGTATGAACTAAAAAAACTTTGTATGTATAGATCACTTAGTGTTGTGTTTCAAATCACATAAATTAGAGTCTGCTCTTCTTCTGGGCCTATTAAAATTGATTATGAAGCTCAGATCACAACCAGATTTTGTTGGTGAGAAATATTAATGTAATTATATGTTTTTTGTCATCATGCCAACACTCACCTCTTTGAACATGAGGATATTCTTATCTGTTTATTCTTAATGGCTTCTCATTTGTCTGTATATGCATTATTCTTTCTGTGTTTTATTTGCTTACATGATGTAGGCCTACCGCCATGCCAGTGACCTTTATGGTGTTGTGTTACCACGCATCAACCATGCTCATGCCACCATGTGGTAGCATGCACCAGTATATATATGCCATGGATGCACTTATATGCATGGGAAGCAGAATTATGCTTCTCTGTTTCATGCTAAAATTGAGCTGATGTAGTACAAAATTAGCTGGTACTTAGCAAATAGTGTTGTACTTTAGGCTTGGTTAAAAGAAAATGTATTGGGAGGTTAGAGTAATTGAATAGGACTGTTGTGAGAATACAATAGCATGTATAAAATATTAAGATCTCTATCGAATGTTGTTAGACCATTTCTAACATCCTGCACCTGATTTAGACCATTTCTTTTTTAATCACAATATGCAAATTCAAGTTTGTGAAGTCCTTATCTTACAGGGATTAGAAATGGCACATGGAAGCAAGGTTCGTAATTTCGTATCATACCAGAGTATCGAGCTCAACTCGGTTTGGTACGGTACGAGTATACCAAGCAGTACGTTTTGGCATATCGCTTGGTGTGTATGTGTGTGTGTGTGTATATATATATAAAATAAAAAAATAAAAAAAGGGGCGACATCGCCTCATTTCTTTTGCCCGCGTGGGAAGAAGAAACGTTGCCTCGTTTCGCTGCGAGGTTTCTTGTCCCCGTGAAAAAAAGGGTGGCATCATCAAGGCAACGTCGCCTTGTTTCTTCTGCTCAGTTTCTTCTCCTCGTGCTGTCACAGACTTAGCTAGAATTGCCTAAGTCGTGAGGCACCCTTGCGAACGCGTATGTCGCAAGGGCACCTCATGACTTAGGCAATCTTAGCTAAGTCTGACAAGTTGGCGCGAGGGTGCTTCGCGACTTAGGCAACTTAAACTAAGCTCGCGTCTTGGCCGCAAGGGTGCCTCACGACTTAGGCAATTCTAGCTAAGTCCGTGACATTGTGGTATCAGAGCGGGCAAGCAATTCGAGCAAGCAGCGAAGGAACTTCGCAATTTTGCCATGCCAAAGCATCGTGGCGAATCAAGCATAGCAGGGCAAGCCAGACCTTTGCCCCAAGCAGTTGCAAGTGCAAACTCACTCTCATGTCGTTGGAGCCGTTTTGGAGAATCGTGGCAGCGAACATGATGAGTGAGAAATTGGCTACTCTCTGCGAGCGGAGGAGGCGTAATCTGGAGCGCCAACCAAGAAGAAGAGCCATAAGGAGAGACTCATTGCGGCGGAAACTCGTTTGGACATTCTTGAAGCAAGATTAGAGGAACTCTACCAAGGCCAACGAAGGCTTCTTGGGGTAGAGAGCTCGCAAGAAGAAGTTTAATCCTGAATTGACAAGGTCGAGGCCCTAGTTGATCGGCTGTCGGACGACACCAAAGACTCCGTGCAACATCTGCAGGAAGTCGTGGTAGAACTCACTTCTAGGGTGACTATGCTCACAAGGGCACTGAATGCGAGAGGAAGCAACACCCGTGTTGCGCCGACAAAACATGAGGGCACTCAAGCCGTATTGTTATGGAGGTGCCAGAGATGCTAAAGAGCTCGAGAATTTCCTATTCGACATGGAACAATACTTTCGAGCTAGAAGGCCTGATTCTGAAGAAACCAAAGTTTCGATAGCAACCATGTATTTAAATGGGGATGTAAAACTTTGGTGGCAAACCCGTTTGGAGGAGATCCAACAAGGTCGATGTCCGGTGGCCACATGGGAGGACTTAAAGCGAGAGTTGAGAACTCAGTTTCTACCTGAGAACACAGAGTTCGTCGCAAGGAGGAAACTAAGACTACTCCGCCAAAGTACTTTCATTCGAGACTACATGAAGCAATTTTCTGCACTAATGCTGGACATACAGGATATGTCCGAGAAGGATAAGCTGTTCAGCTTTCTTGATGGTTTGAAGCCATGCGCCCAATAAGAACTGCATCAAAGGAATGTCACCGATGTGATCGGGGCAATTGCTGTCACAAAAAGACTCACCGACTTTGTTTCCTCTGAGGACCCGAGAAAAAGGAAACAATCTTCAGGAAATCGCCCTCTAAAATATTCTCGTGGGATGGAGCCCGAGTGCGAATAGAGGAAGAAGGGTTCCCGCAAAGGGCCAAACTCAAAAGGCAAGGCTCCAAAACCTGTCGGATACTTCTTGTGCGAAGGGCCGCACATGGTGAGAGAGTGCCCACAGAAGCAAGCACTAAATGCCTTAATAGCTTCTATTCATCACCTCAAATCAGACAAGGGCAAGGCTATCGCTCTTAGTTCGAGTAGCTCAGAATCCAGCAGCGACGATGAGGAGTCACAAGGACCCTGAATGGGAGCAATGCGTTTGTTGAACGCTATGCGGGGTCAAGTGAGGGAGAACATGAAGGCAAGGCCACAAAAAGCAAGAAGTAGCGAGCTGATGTACGTAGACATTAAACTCAATGGCCAAACGACCTGTGCAATGGTGGACACGGGGGCTACCCACAACTTTATTGTCGATCGAGAAGCAAAGCGACTTGGACTGATCTTCGAAAAGAACCCAAGTCGAATGAAGGCGGTGAACTCGGAGGCCAAGCGAATCTCCGAGTTGGCAAAGGGAGTTCCCATCAAGATTGGAACATGGAGCGGGAGCACAAACATGATGGCGGTGCCACTGGACGACTTCCAAGTGATTCTTGGAATGGAATTCTTGCACGCGACGAAGTTGGTGCCGATGCAGTTCCTAAACTCCCTATGTATGATGGGAGGTGACGACCCCTATGTGGTTCCCGTCTCTCGGAGGGGAACCAGGGAACCCCAACAGATATCGGCATTACAACTAAAGAAAGGGGTACGAAAAGGCGAATTAACGTTTGTGGCTGTTATGAAACTAGAGCCACTCGACGAGAAGGCCATTCATAAACCTACTGTGGTGGCGAATGTCCTGAAGGCCATTGATATGAGGCGTGGATCATCATATCAAGCTGGAGCTAGGAGTGAAGCCTCCAGCGAGACCACCTTACCACATGCCCCCTCCATAGTTGGTAAAGCTCAGAAAGCAGTTAGGCGAATTGCTAAGCGGTGGTCTAATCCGCAGTTCTAAAGCATCATTCGGAGCTCCAATTCTCTTCCAAAAGAAACAAGATGGGAGCCTCCGACTATGTGTTGATTATCGAGCCCTCAATAAAGTGATGGTGAAGAACAAGTATCCCATCCCGCTCATCGTGGACTTGTTCGACCAATTGGGCAAAGTTAAGTATTTTTCAAAACTTGACCTCCGGTCGGGGTATTGGCAGGTGCACATTGCTGAAGGCGACGAAGTGAAGACTACCTGTGTGACCAAGTATGGAGCGTTTGACTTCTTGGTGATGCCTTTCAGCTTAACCAACGCTCCAACCACATTCTGCACTCTTATGAACCAACTCTTCAAAGAATATTTGGATAAATTCGTGGTCGTCTACTTGGACGATATCGCCGTCTACAGCCAAATGCTCGAGGAGCATGTTGAGCACCTTTGGACAATTTTCAAGGTTCTCAGGGAGAACACTTTTTTCGTGAAAAGGGAGAACTGCTACTTTGCTCAACTAGAGATCTTATTCTTGGGGCATCGAATCGGTGATGGCTCCATTCAAATGAACAAATCGAATGTGCAAGCTATTACGAAATAGCGAACTCCAAAGAAGGTGCTAGAGCTGGGATCCTTCCTTGGTTTCGTCAACTACTATCGACGCTTCATAGCGGGGTATTCGAAGCGTGCAACTCCACTGATGGAGTTGCTGAAGGAGCAGCCTTGGAGGTGGTCTGATAAAATGTGAAGCTACGTTCCAAGATCTGAAGGCTACTGTGTTGGAAGAACTGGTGCTCAAATTGTTAGACTATAGGGAGCCCTTCGAAGTCCATACAGATGCTTCAGACTTCGTTATCGGGGGAGTACTCCTGCAGGAGGGTCATCCGGTGGCCTACGAGAGCCATAAGCTCAACGAGACCGAGCAGCGGTATTCGGTGCACGAGAAGGAAATGACAGCGGTGGTCCACTGTCTATGAGTTTGGCGACACTATCTTCTTGGATCGCAATTTGTGCTAAGGACAGACAACATCGTTTTGAGCTATTTCCAAACTCAAAAGAAACTCTCCTCAAAGCAAGCACGATGGTAGGACTTCCTGGCTGAGTTTGATATGGCAATGGAGTATAAGCCCGGAACGGCAATTGTCGTGGTCGATCCATTGAGTCGGAAAGTGGAGCGTGTGAATGTCGTATAATTAGAGGGCAGAGGCTAAACAAGTTAGTTGCACTCCAAATTTCTTTCCAGGATCAAGGATGGATTGTACAGTGATCCCCAAGCAGTAACCCTGATACAGCTCATCAAAGAAGGCAAGGCACGACGATTTTAGGTCCAGGAGGGACTCGTTTACACAAAAGGGAGTAGGGTCTATGTCCTTCAAGTGGACAATTTAAGGCGTGAGCTCTTAAGAGAGTGTCACAATTCCTTTTGGGCTGGACATCCGGGCATTCACAGAACCTTGGCTCTCATGGAGAGGGTCTTCTACTGGTCGAAGATGGGGACTGATGTGGAGGAATATGTTCGAACGTGCCTCACTTGCCAACATGATAAGGTGGACCAACGGAAGCCGGTGGGACTTTTGGAGTCGTTGCCCATACCAGAAAAGTCATGGGAGAGCACTTCCTTGAACTTCATATCAAGCTTGTCGGCAGTAGGGGGACTTGGATCGGTACTCGTGGTGGTCGATCGATTTTCAAAGTATGCAACTTTCCTTGCTGCACCCGTACACTGTTCAGCAGAGGAGGCGGCCAAGCTGATGATGAAGAATGTGGTGAAGTATTGGGGAGTCCCGCACAATATCATTAGTGATCGAGACGCTCGGTTCCTAGGACGATTCTAGACCGAGTTATTCAAATTGTTGGGGTCTAAGTTATACTTATTCATAAGTCTCCCACCTAGACTGATAGCCAACCCGAAAAGATAAACTCACTCTTGGAGCAATATCTTCGACACTACGTGAGTGCCTACCAACGAGTTTGGGTGAAGCTGTTGGACATAGCGCAGTTCTCCTACAAACTTGCAGCGGAGCTCTGTATCTAACAAGAGCCCCTTCGAGATCATTACAGAACAACCGTCGGCTCCTCACACCTTGGCTATCGGATATACTAGGAGTAGTCCGTCAGCATATCACTTTGTAAAAGAATGGCACCGAAATGTAGATATTACGCGGGCTTACTTGGAGAATGCAGTCAAAAAGGTGAAGAAGTGGGCCGACTTGGGAAGGCGACCATAGGAGTTCAAAGTCGGCGATTTGGTGTTGGTGAAGCTCCAACTAGCATCACTCCAATTCTTTAGGAACAAAGTACACAAAGGATTGGTGCGCAAGTATGAATGGCCCTCTCCAATTATCAGTAGGGTGGGCAACGTCTCCTACAGGTTGCAGCTGCCCGCGTGGCTCAAAATTCACAATGTTTTTCACGCCAGTAACTTGAAAGCCTACCACACAGATCCGTAAGATGCTTCCCGAAGTGTTCCAACTCGGCTACCTCTCACCAGAGCCTCCTACGAGAAGCAAGTTGAAACCATTCTGGCGAATCACAAGATAAAGCCACCCAATGGAGCTGAGCAGACCGAGTACTTGGTGAAGTGGCAAAAGCTTCCCCAAACTGAAGCTAGTTGGGAGCCCGAAGACGCCCTACGACATGAAGAAGCAATCATCAACAATTACCAACAAGCGTCAACGAGGGCGTCGACAATTTAAGTGGGGGAGAATGTCACTAACGATCGTCACGCACCCGCAACAACTTCGTTCAACGAACCGTTCCTTGCTTTTGCATGCTTATACCGAGACATGGCAGTATGTTTTGCCTTAGTTTTGTGTGTTTTTGCTTGTAAAAATGCATGTTCGAACATGTTGCAACATTGCAATGCGATCGCTCGCCGCGCCAAGCCGAACTGCTCAAAACAAATCCGTTTTCGCGTGCCACGGATTGTTTTCTGCAAGCCGCAGCTGCGCGCGAAATGTCAGCCATCTCAGCACCTTGGAACCCCCCGAGTGGCACAAGGCTGAATGGGGCTTCGGTACATTGTCGAGCATTGAAAAACTCTTTACAAGTTCGCACGTTAACTTGAAGGGAACTTGCTTTCGTGCCTGGCACTCGGTGAGCAGTTGTTTGTAAACTTGCAACTGTTCGTTCTACCTACCTTCTGAAGTCCTTATTTTCCTCCTTTCTCTCTTTTCTCCTATGCACACAAGGTACTTGCTGAATTGCTTATAAAGCTTACCTCTTTGCGAGATGTCGAGACTTGTCCGTCGCTCGTTTTCAATCTAATCAACTTTTTATTTTACAGATCCTTCGGGACCTGTACGAGGTTGCAACTAGGTTGACCCTTTGTGGACACGTATGTCGCAAGGGTGCCTTATGACTTGCGCAATCCCAGCTAAGTCCAAGAAGTTGGCGTAACGGTGCTTCGTGACTTAGGCAACTCAAGCTATGTTCGCGTCTTGGTCGCAAGGGTACCTCACGACTTAGGCAATTCTAGCTTTGTCCGTGACAGCACGGATGAGGAGAAGTCGCCGACAACGCTGAGGCCTCATCGCCTAAGATGAGGAGGCGATATCTTATCTGTGGCGTCCGACGAGAGAGGGTGGCGACAGATCGAGATTTTCGAGGGAGAGCAACGTTGGATCTCCAGGTTCTTCCTTTTCTTCCCCCTCTTCTTCCTTCTCCCTCAGCTAATATCGCCCGATAGCAGGCGGCGACGGTCAAAATCAATCGCCACCGATCGATTTCGTGTGGTAACAGGACGGAAACAGTCCCAATTAACGGTACCGCCCGGTAATAGGCGATCCGCGTATCGGTCTGCTGGCGGACTAATACGTATCGCCTGGTACGAGCGGTATCTTTTGAAATTAAACTCCTTGCATGGAAGTATTATAGATATTATAAACACATAAATATGTTGTCATATTGAGTTTGTATCCATAGCATTCAGCATTTTATGTAATAAGTGGTGTATAAAGTGCAAGAATTTTTATTAATGGTCCTGCATATCTCATTTAGTATTTGCTCTGTGCAGGGTTAAATATCTTGTCTTGGATGAAGCTGATAAGCTTTTCGAGCTAGGTTTTGTAGAACAAATTGATTCTGTGGTCAAAGCCTGTTCAAAAACTACTGTAGTACGTACACTGTTCAGTGCGACTTTGCCTGAAACTGTTGAAAAACTTGCAAGCACAGTTATGGTTGATGCAGTTCGAATCATCATTGGTAGAAAGTATGCATGTAGAATCGTATTTACACTATGAACTTCCCAGTTTCTTATTCAGATGATACATCTCTAACAGAACAACTTTTGACAGAAATTCTGCCTCCGAGATGATTAAGCAAAAGCTTGTTTTTGCTGGTAGTGAAAAAGGGAAATTGCTTGCTATTCGTCAAAGCTTTTCAGAGGTACAACTGATATCTTTATATAGCACATTAAAGCTTTTCAGAGGTACAACTGATGTCTGTCAAGCAGAACAGGAATGATATCTTATTCCTTTTTAATGATGGATATCCTTTCTATATTATGAATATAAATATGTCAGTGTAGTGCACTAATACAATTGAAATTGTTTAAACGGTAGTTCGAGGCTCCCTAATAATATTGTTATTAGTAGCAATTTAGATTTATTTAACAATTTTTAAAACATTGAGCACTCTCTTTTTCTCATACAGCAATTCATTTAAACTTTGATTCACTGAACTTCACTGTGGTTACTCAAAAATAGTATATGATGCGCTTGGGCTTCTTTGCTTGATTCAGAGTTGTTCTTTTTTTCTGCTGGATTACTAGCTAAGGTTTGACTAACATCTCTGTAATTTTTACCAATAGAGTCTGAATCCTCCAGTGCTAGTGTTTGTTCAAAGCAAAGAAAGAGCGAAGGAACTTTACAAGGAATTAACATTTGATGACATAAAAGTTGATGTTATTCATGCAGACCTTTCCCAGCAGCAGGTTAGCATTTGTGCAGTTGATTGTTAAGAAAACTGGCTAATTGACTTTTGTGGATCTTTTCTTCAGAACATTAGAAAAATTGCTTATTGCAACACTCATATTTTGGTTGAACAGTCATCTTAATTTAACATTTACAATTGTCCTTCATACACATCATTTCCCTAATCATAACTTTTCTTTTATTGTTATAGCGAGAAGATGCAGTCGATAACTTCAGATCGGGCAAGACATGGGTTCTGATAGCAACTGATGTTGTTTCTCGGGGTATGGATTTTAAGGGGATCAACTGTGTGATCAACTATGATTTTCCTGAATCAGCTGCAGCATATATTCATAGAATTGGTATGCAGCTAAACTTTTTCCTTACTAGTTGTAGTATAACCTTTTTGTAATCAGCAAATTGTTTTGGCTTCATGCTTGAAAATTTATCTGGCTTCTCTAAATGGACCAGCACGGTTCCGATCCTTGCCAGCATACTGACACATGGTATGCCGGAATATATTGTGGTACTAATCTTCTGGGGTAGCGAGGACTAGGTTAATGCTCAGACCAGTAAATATTGGCCGGTATGGTCCGGTCTTGGCAAAATTGAGTTCTATAATATGAAGAGTAATATTTTCAATTGATGCTAATAATCAACCATCCTGCAGAGAGAGGGAGAGGGTCAATAGTAGAGGTAAGGTTTGGGACTAGCATACCAGGTCATGCAAACTCAGGTTGGGAATGGATCCTAATACAGAAGGCAATGCAGATTCAGAACTTTGGATTAGGATTGGATGTTATCATCTTGATGAGAATAAACAGATGAATAAAGTTAAGTCTTACCAATAAGCAAATACGAATTCATGATTGGATGACACGTTTATGAACCTTAAAATAATAGTACCATGCCCAAAATTCAATTAACTTTTGCATCTTCTACCTAGTTTCTACTGTTGATGATCTTTATGCAGATGCACACTCAGGCTTCATGCCTTGTGATTGTCTTTCCAGATTCTAATGCTTTTCTTTTCCCAATCTTATGCTTTTCTAAAATTTGTCTATCCAGATTCTAAAGCTCTTCTTTTCCCAATCTTATGCCTTGTGTTCTTCTACCTAGTTTCTCCTATTGTTCTAAGTTTATAGTATCTTCTTTCTCAATCTTCAGGTCGATCTGGACGAGCTGGAAGACCCGGAGAAGCTGTAACATTCTTCACTGAAGAGGATAAGCCTTTTCTGAGGAACATAGCCAATGTGATGGCAGCATCCGGCTGTGAGGTTCCTTCCTGGATTCTAGCTTTGCCCAAGCTCAGAAAAAGAAAGCACCGACCACAGAGAGACTCGATATCAACCATTCCCGATGACAGTGCCTAGTAAAAGAAATGCTGCAGTATGTTCTAAAGCATCAGGTTCATTGCTCCCATCCTTCCCGAGGTTGGATTTCAATCTATTCACACGTGACTTGGTTAATCTTCTGTTTGTAAAATCTGATTGACAGTGTTGTTTATTACAGAGTCTACTGCTGTAGTTTTCATCAGCATTTTGACCCTTCAATGCCATCACTGAGTTTGCGGACGAAGATTGCGATTCAGGGAAACAGGCTTCAAACAGGACTGATAAAAATGTTTATATGTACTTCATAACTTAAGATTTTTAAGATCATGTTTTGAGTTAGAACATTGAGCTAAGAAGTGTAACAGAAGGAAGAAAAGCAGTGCTTTAATTAGGCACTTGGGTGTGGCAACGAGGCTCGAGCTTCTTGTGTGTGGACCAAGTGGTGTGCTTCAATGGGGCGTCGTTTGAGCGCTTACTCAAACCCAAGCATTGGGCACTTCGGACGAGCATCCGGTTCAAATAAATGAATCGAACTAGACTTAAAAAGTTTGTTTTGGTTCAATAACCCTTTTTCTTACTCGTAAAAACCATTCTTCACACCCGCATGACCTCGAGCCAACTTTAGCATTGCCAAACGTGGCCAGTTTTTCTATTGTTGCCTCAATCGTAGTTTTCTTCTGTCACTTAGTGTATAGTTCCTTTACGTTGCCAAACGTGGCCTGCTTACCTCTCCTCTGGCGTTGCTACTTACCTCTCCTCCAGTGTCGTTGCTTCTTGTTCCAAAGGCGGAGATCGCTTAGTCACCTCTCGCCCTCACAAGAATCTCGCCTATACTGTCGTGGTGGTCATCGTTCTCGCAATTGCTCGTTCCCGCATCTTGCTCGAGCGAGAAGAGCTGCTGTTGCCATCCTTGTCGCATAGCCATCATTGCCTTCCTGCGGCAGCAGGAACGATTACAGTTCTTGCAACTTCCATCTGCAGTCGCTTCCCTCTATCGCAGCAATTTCTCTGCTACAGCAATTTTTACTACCGCGGTAAGCTTCAGCAACTGTAACAACTGTAGAGTTTTCCATCTAATCGCTACAGATTTTTTTCACCTAATCGCTACAGATTTCTCGAGCTAATCACTACGGATTTCTCGTGCATCGCTACAGCCTCCTCTGAAGTGCGTCGCAACCTCCTCTGTAGTGTGTCGCTACAGCCTCCTCTGTAGTTCATCGCTGCAGCTTCCTCGCTCATCACTGCAACTTTCTCGCTCATCGCTGCAACTTCCTCGCTCATCGCTGTAGCCTCCTCTATAGTGCATCGTTGTAGCCTCCTCAGCAGCGCATCAATCTGCCTCCCTCCTATATCTTTACATCTTCTGTAAAGATCGCTTAAACCGCCACAAAATGTCTGGGATGTCTTCATTTTCTTCTTCCGATATTCTTATTACTGTTTCTGCAGTGACTCTGAACACTTCTCCTACAAGGCTTATCTCCATCAATGCTGTCACGTTAATCCCTTTCAAGTTATTAAAGGGTGGCAACTATGCATCCTGGCCAACATAATTTTCTAATCTCTTATTTGGATACGACTTGCTCAGCTACATTAACGGCTCCTTCAGTTGTCCGCCAGCCATGATCAATATTCTCAGAGAACCCAGTCCTATACCAAATCCGGCTCACAAATTGTGGCTGCGTCAGGATCGTCTCATCCTCCGCTATTCAAACCTCAATTGTTGGATCCGTCGCTCCATTGATTTCTACATATGTGACTGCTGCCGATGCATGGTGTAAACTGTAAACAACCTTGGAGAATCATTCGTATACTCGCAAGCTCAATCTTCTATCCAAGCTAATGGTGACCAAACAAGAGGAAAGTACTATCACTGATTATCTACAAAATATCAACGTTATTATCGATGACTTGGCTTTGATAGATCATTCCCTATGTGATGAGGAGATCATCATTCATACCTTAAATGGTCTTGGAGATGACTACAAGGAATTGGCAGCTGCAATTCGGGCACGCGACTCGCTAATCTCCTTTGAAGAACTCTATGACAAGTTGACTGACTATAAGATGTATTTAAAGCGTGCGGATAAACTGCCCGAACCATCTATCACAGCTCAAGTCAGTTATAAGTATAAGAGAAAGAACACCCAATACCCTCCGAACATCACTAAAGGTACTCTTGATCCTATGAGTCCTATGCAACACCCCTCTTATCCCTCTAATCATAATTTCTCACAAAGTGGCAACTCCAATACTCGTCCGCCTTGGCATCCTGCCCCTTCAAGCCAACAACGATAGGTTGTCTGCCAATTGTGTGTTAAAGTCGGACACTCCGCAAAAGTTTATCAGTCTTGACCCCGTCTTCTTGCTCCATCACACTGGCCTCAAGTAAATCTCCTCACTTCTCCGACAACTAGCCAGCCCAACTGGATTGTGGACCCTAGAGCCTCCCATCACATCACCTCTGATCTTCAGAATTTGTCTCTTCACAATCCCTAGGGTGGCGATGAAGATATCATCATCAGTGACGGTAAAAGCCTTCCTATAACTCATACTGGTTCCACAACGCTTACTTCTGATACTACCACATTTACACTCGATGATGTCTTGTGCGCCCCTAATATTAAACGCAACCTCATTTATATTTCTTAATTTTATAAAAATAATAATACTTCAATTGATTTTTTTTCTTGATTTCTTTCTTGTTAAGGACTTGAGCATGGGGGCATTCTTAGTTCAAGGCCTGAATAGAGGCAACATTTATGAATGGTCATCAGCTCCACAAATAACCCAACCCACTATTCATTCTTCTGTTGCGGCTCCACATGTGTGGCATCATCGTCTTGGTCATCCCTCATCCCTTATTCAGCAAAAATTACTTTCTCATTTCTCTCTTCCTATTTTTAAATCATATAGTTCTATATCGTATTGTGATGCATGTCTCAGTAATAAAAGTCATCGACAACCATTTGGCTCATCTTTCATTTTCACCTCTAAACCATTTGAAATTATTTATACTGATGTTTGGGGCCCTGCCCCTATCCTGTCTTTTGATAAATTTAGATTTTATGTCATTTTTGTAGATCACTTCACTAAGTACACATAGTTATATCCTCTTCACCATAAATCTGACGTTTCAACCATCTTTCTCACTTTTCGAAAGTTGATCGAAAATCACTTTCAATCTACCATCAAAATGGTTTACTCTGATGTTGGTGATGAATATCAAGCCCTAACTTCCTATCTCTCAGCTTGTGGTTTCCAACACCTTAAGTCTCGCCCGCATACTCAACTTGTTGGCTCCACCGAATGCAAACATCGGCATATACTGGAAACTGGGCTCACACTTCTCCATCAAGCTTCCATGCTTTCAAACTTTTGGACGGCAACCTTTCAAACTGTCGTCTACCTTATAAATAGCATGCCTACGCTAGTCCTACAATACCAGTCCCTCTTTGACACACTATTTCACAAACCCTCAAACCTTCATAAACTCAGAGTATTTGATTGTCCATGTTATTCATGGTTGCATCCCTATGCCTCTCACAAATTAACATCACGATCTAATCCTTGCATTTTTATAGGTTACTCTCTTAAACATAATGCTTTCCGCTGCTATAATCTCCACACTCAAAATTTTTATATCGTGTCATGTTATTTTTGTTTAGTCTGTCTTTCCTTTTCATAACCATACCTCTCCTACCATGCAGACCACCTCATTAACTATTTCTCATTGAGGTATACCTCCGATCCAACCGGATGAGCCTCCCATAACATCGTCCAGTTCCTCCTCTCATGATCCACATTATTCCACTCCTCCGGTTCAGCAATTACCCATTCCTACTCCACTTCTCTCTTCTCCGACTATTTGGGTGCTTGGTTCAGGATCACAACTGTTATCTTTACCTCCTTCTCGGCCAAGTGACCCTAACGTACCTCACTTGACCCGCCCTGTGTCAATGACTCTCAACCCCTTCTTCCAACAACACAGTCTCACGGTCCCATAGTCTCCAACCACCCTATGACCACACGCTCTAAAAGTGGTATTTTCAAACCGCATCAGGTCCTTAATCTTCATGCTATCATGAATTCCTCATCCACCACCTTCACTCAAGCCCAAAAATTTTTGCATTGGCGTACCACCATGTGTGAGGAATATAATGCCCTCCTCCATAACTCAATATGGGATCTAGTACTCTTTCATTATACATAAAATATCATTGGGTATAAGTGGGTTTTTTGAGTTAAGCGGAACCTCGATGGCTCTATTGCCCGATATAAGGCACGCCTCGTCACCAAAGGGTTTCATCAAAGACCTGGAGTTGATTTCACTAAGACATTTAGTCTCGTTGTTAAGCCCACTACAATCAAACTTATCTTGAGTCTCGCCACCACTAAGGGTTGGCAATTACGCCAATTGGACATTAATAATGTCTTTTTACAAGGGACTCTAACTGAAGATGTTTTTATGCAACAACGTCCTAGTTTCACTCATCCTCAATATCCAAGGCATGTTTGCAAACTTCGAAAATCTATTTATGGACTTCGTCAGGCTCCAAGAGCTTGGTACACTGAACTTGGCTTTTTTCTAACTTCAGTTGGCTTTCTCAACTCCAAATCTGATTTCTCGTTATTTTTGAGATACCACCATAGCAACACAATTTATATTTTGGTCTATGTGGATGACATCATTGTCACAGGCAACAACCTTGAAGAAATCCAAGTATTCATCAAATAGTTGGCAGATCGATTCTCACTCAAAGATCTAGGACCCCTAAACTACTTTCTGAGTGTAAAGGCTACATTCACACCTTCCGGTCTCTTTCTGTCACAAAGAAAGTATATTCAAGATTTATTATCCAAAACAAACATGCAAGATGCAAATCTGGTTACAACCCCTCTATCTACTAGTGGCTCTCTCAAATTATCTAATGGAAGTCCTACTACGGAACCCACTCAATACCGACAAGTCATTGGTTCTCTACAGTACAAAGCTCTCACCCGTTCCGACATCTCATTTGCAATTAACAAATTATCACAGTTTATATAGAGACCGTCTACTATGCATTGGTCTACGGTCAAATGAGTCCTATGATATCTTAAGGGGACTCTCAATCATAGTGTCTTTCTTCATAAATACTCTCCACTTCAGCTTTATGCCTTTATCGATGTTGATTGGGCAGGCAATTTTAATGATCGAACATCCATATCGGGGTATATTGTCTTCATGGCGCTAATCCAATCAATTGGAGTTCTAAGAAGTAAAAGATAGTCATACGATCTACAACTGAAACTGAATACCATGCCATCGCCACTGCCACTGCAAAACTCAATTTGGTCACAAATTTGCTCAAAGAACTCAACATCAACTCTACTCCTATAATATATTGTGATAATGTCGGAGCTACCTAT